AAGGAGGAACCCAGACCCAGACCAGTGGTCATTCCATATGTTGAGGGAGTATCAGAGAAACTGAGACGTTTATTTTCTAAACATAACGTCCCAGTGGCTTTTAAACCCCAAAATACATTAAAGACTGGTTCATCCCAAAGATCCAGTCCCCCGGCACAAACAGAGTCATGTTGTGTATGTTGTTCAGTGTCAGGAGGGTGATCAGTCTTACATCGGGGAAACTAAACAGCCACTGGCCAAAAGGATGGCCCAGCACAGAAGATCAACATCATCAGGCCAGGACTCTGCGGTCTACACTCATCTCCAGGCCAGCGGTCACTCTTTCAGGGATGAAGATGTTCACATCCTGGACAGAGAGGAACGATGGTTTGAGAGAGGAGTAAAGGAGGCCATCTTTATGAAAAGAAACCGTCCATCATTAAACAGGGGTGGAGCCTCCGGGTTCAACTGTCCCCCTCTTACAATGCTGTGATTGCTAGTATCACTCAGCCCTCTGTGAACAGTAAACAGCCATCAGGTGCTAATGATCCATTGTTAGGCTGATGGTCCTTCTTGAGCATGTGATCAGCTGGTTTTGGTTGTCAGCAGCAAAACTGGTTGATCCACTCTGAGAAGGTGCTATTTAAGAGACTGAGCTGAATACAGCACCTCAGACTGAGGAAGTCCTCAGGATGAGAGACGAAACGTTTCTATATTTTTTTGCTTTGTTTTGTTTTTTTGAATGTCCAGAGGACCAGATTGAACTTTTTTGGATTTTTCTACCTGGATTATTGAGCATGCGTCAGGAAATACTTTAAACATTTTGAACACATTTAGGATACATAAAACTGAAAGCATGTAAGTTAATTATCATAAGGTACTTTAACCCTTCAGTGCCAAGAGCTCCCATTAGAACCAAAAATATGTTTATGTGTCTACGTAAAGTGTATATGTAATATGATGTTAGGCACAATGCAGTATATAGGCATGCACAATATATATATCAATTAACTTATCATCTAACATATGCACCTTATACAAACCGGATTCCAAAAAAGTTGGGACACTAAACAAATTGTGAATAAAAACTGAATGCAATGATGTGGAGAGGGCAAATGTCAATATTTTATTCGTAATATAACATAGATGACAGATCAAACGTTTAATCTGAGTAAATGTAACAATTTAAAAGAAAAATATGTTGATTCAAAATTTCACAGTGTCAACAAATCCCAAAAAAGTTGGGACAAGTAGCAATAAGTGGCTGGAGAAAGGAAACTGAGCATATAACGAACAGCTGGAAGATCAATTAACACTAATTAGGTCAATTGACAACATGATTGGGTATAAAAAGAACTTCTCAGAGTGTCAGTGTCTCTCAGAAGCCAAGATAGTAAGTGGATCACCAATTCCACCATTGTTGTGCAGAAAGATAGTGCAGCAATACCAGAATGGTGTTACCCAGCGTAAAATAGCAAAGACTTTTAAGTTATCATCATCAACCGTGCATAACATCATCAAAAGATTCAGAGAATCTGGAACGATCGCTGTGCGTAAGGGTCAAGGCCGTAAAACTCTACTGGATGCTCG